TATTCATTCAAATCTGCCCTTTACATCTGATAAACCCCCTTTAAATAAAAGAGTCCTACTCTTGCCTAACATGGTGCAAGAGTATAATTTATTTCCTAAAATAAAGATATTAACTAAGGAAAGCAAATAAATGAAAATAAAGGAAACTAAATAATAAAGATAGCAGAATAATAGTAAAGCTAAATCTTGAGCCGGTCGAACTTATCCAAGAATGCCAATGCGGCCTTGTCTCCATCATGCACCCTCTATGGTGTGCTTCACTTGGTGGGACCATATTATTTTTCCCCGGTTCGGATATGCTATCAGAGCGGGCTTGTCCTAAGACCTGCAAGGACTACTCGGCCTGCTCTGGGCTTGGGCTTGTCTCTCTACAGCCTGCTATGTAGAATTCGGCTTACGAATAACTGACAAGTGAGGGAGCATGTTGGAATATCACTTGTGAGTTGTCCCACATTAATTCTATAGAGAAAATGAGCATAATATATAAGTCTAGTGTGTTACTGCTCTCATCACTAATTGGATTTGAGATGAAACTTCTACACTTAGGCTCACCCTCTTATCATGCGCTTCACCTGGTGGGACCGCACTTTCTTGATCCGGTTCTAATACAATTGCAATTACAAGTGATTAGCTAAAAGTTTGTATATACAAGCCAAATTGTGCATATAACTGACATTTTCCGTGTACATACTAAATTAAAAATTGATAGTCTCCAACTCTAAATATGATGACCATTTTCGTAAAATGATTATACTATAGTACATTATAGTTAAGAGAATATTTACAAGATTAAACACACAAGATAAAAAGTATTTTTAATTAGGGAGAGCTTTGCCGCCCTTGTGGTCCTACCCGACTCGATTCTGAATTAGTTGGTTCCCCTGTGGATCCGGAAACCGGAAGGTTCCTGTACAAAAAAAAAAAAGTATTTTTAATTAGTGAGCTTATTTTAATGGTATTGACTTTTTAGTAGCTCGTCTATAAGTCAGTTTATTTTTTCCAACAGTTAAATTGACTATTTCACCCCTCAAATCTGAAAATCTTGCCTCAGCCAAATGAGACCTTCTCAACTAAAAGGAGTAAATTGCACCAAACCCCCCTGTAATATACTAAATCTGCGCGTTTTCCCCTCATAATTTAAAAATTGCGTCAAACCCCCTTCTATTGTATATCTGCCTGCACACTCTCCCTTTGATGTTAACACCGTCACTTTACTACTGACGGTGTTACTTTTTTTCATCAAATTTACCATTATACCCTTACTTTATTTACCATTATGCCATTATACCTTTATTTTATCACTGAATTTACCATTATGCCATTACTTTATCACTGAATTTACTATTATGCCACTACTGTCAAATAATATATATATATATTCTAAATTATATATAAAGAAAATAATATACATATATATAACATTTATATAATTTATATATTTATATAACGTTTATATATTATATATGTCTAATAAC